CACAACACACACACAACACAGCACAACACACACACACACACCGATGTACATTTCCGCTAGTTGGAAAGGCGGCGTTTCCGAGCGCGTGCAGCCGAGGCCGGCGCCTCTCCACCTCAGCCGACCATACCTCCCCCATCCCCACCACCTCGTGCGCGGCCGACCTCTGCCGGGATGCTCCGCCTCGCCTTCTCTCGCCTCACATCTCTCGGCGGCAAGTGTTTAATTTCGTTAGGGTTTCCTAAGCCGGCCTGATGGGCCGGGTGCTGGATGCCCCTCAGTTGCGAGGGAGGAAGAGAGTGTGGAAGCCGGTGTGTAGCCGGGCGCTACGCTCGGCAAACGAGGCTCGAATCGCTTACCTGAAGCGGCTGGTTAAGGAGCAGCGGCAGCACCACACCGTCATGAGGGACTGAAGGAAAAGGACGTCGAGAGATGGAGATGCGGCGGCAGCCGCTGCGCTTGCCGGCGCCTCCGCCTCCTTCCTTTCTTCTGCCGCCGCGCTGGGGACCGCTGTTGGTTGTCGCTGCCTCCTCCCCTTCGCATTTCGCCTCGCGAGCGGCGCTGTGCCAGAGGAGGGGGGCGGAGCCTCGTTTGGACCAGGCAGGCGGCGGCGGCGGGGGGCGAAGCGGAGAGAGGGTCTGTCCTCAGTGCCGTATGGAGGGGGGGGCACGTAAGACGACGTTATGGGGGACAGCCGGGCGTCGCTCCTCTCTCTCTCTCTCTCCCTCCCCCACTCTGCCTCGAGCATCTGTGAAGGTGGGAAAGGCGGTGGAAAGCAGAGAGGGCCCACAGCGAGGGTTGTAAGGGCAGCGAGCTCTATCGCTCTTCTCTAAGCAGAGTGCCTCGGAATTATTGCAGGGGTTCTTCTTGGGAGTGAGCCGCAGGTCTGATCTTTCCCGTTCTTTACCAAATATGCCTTTAAAAATATCTTCAGCCTCCGCATCCTCCTCCCCATCCTCCCTCGGATGCTTCTGTCTACTATAGTGCGCTCAATGGCGAAAGAAAAAGAAATGGAAGAAGGGAAACGAAGCTGCACCAGGAT